AGTTCACGTTCGCCCAAAATATGAACGAGTTCATGAACTTTCGTTCAGTGAACGCGTTCAGGCACAACACTGGTCTTGTCCTGGATTCCAATAACACTATTGGCTTGAAATGCTGATTTTCGTAGTATTTCACTATAAAGGGTTAAAGGTATTGATAGAGCAGGCATCCCCAACCTCGGTCCTCTGGGCCCGTTGACCTGCAAGTTGTAGAGGTTTCTCTGCTTCAGCACAGCTGATTATAATGATTGCAGTAGACCAAAAGCCTGTTAATGAGCTTTCAATTAAAATCAGCTGTGCTGGAGGAAAGAAACCTCTAAAACCTGCAGGACAGTGAGCCTTTTTGCCCGTAAAATAAGATTATTATGCCCCAGATATACGATAACATTGAGTTGTATTTTCTTATTTTAAACATCTTATCCATTGGCAATTGCCTTATTTAACTGCTTAAATTAAGAAAAAACACTTCAATAGAAAAAAATAACTTATTTCTTAAATTTGTTATAATCGTTAACAGACCATCTGCTCTTCATGCAGCCTGAGCTCATTCTTCCTAAAACAGCAGTGGGATTTTTTCCCCTCTGATATTAACTGGAAGGATCTGGATGGTAAAGGCCACCAGTGGGAGGATGCTGGGGCTGACTGGGCCCCTGCCTGTCTGCACACCTATCCATGTTTTATATGACATTAGAGGAATATATAAGACAAACATTGTAAACAATAGCTATTTGTTATGAATTTTCAGTCATTTATTTTCTGAAATCCAGGCCTTTCAAAACCTTAAACTTTCAAATGAATATGAAATGACAAAAAATCTGACAATTCTGAACTACAAGGAGATGATTTTAGCATAAACGGCCAACAAAAAAAGAAAAAAAATCCAAATTGTTTTATTGCATTTATCATCTGGAGCCTTAGAATTTACTTAACCCAGATTTTGATGACAGTTGTTTTTTTTTAAGTACATACACAATGCGTTTCCCTCCTGTGTATTAATTACATGGTCTGATGCCCCCATGTTTCCTTGGCGCCGGAGCTCATTTTTCATTGGGGGACTGACAGTTAAATGCTCTGCTTGGAGGAAGTCAACTTCAGGCCTTACAGCAAACCGCCGTTAAACCATCGTTGTTGGTGAGGATCTGCTCCAACTGCAGAGCTTAGCTTCTATGTAAACAATCCCTCCTGCTTAACATCAACACTTCATACGGGAGAAAGTCAGTTTCAGTTCTACTAAGGTTGGGCAATAAATGGTTTAATTGATTAATCACATTTTTGATTTCATTTTAGGAAAATCTGTTTTCCTTTTATTTCACCATAGTACCTCTTGGGCTTCCATACTTCAGAATGACTTCAGTTTTCCATTTTATCTTCTTAGATGTGTACTCATACCTGATCAACTAGCTCGTTGTGTAAAAATACGACCTGCAGCGGTGAAAGGATGTCACGCTTTCACTGTTTACAAAGGCAGGGCCTGTCAACTGGTTTTACAGTCATGTTTCACAGGTTGGATTTACATTCACTTTGAATACAGTTCGGCGCCCAGAAGGTGTGACGGTGGGGTGGAGGTTTGACACGACCCAAATGCAGACACTGAAGCTGAAGTAGTTTCTTGAAGATTTAATATTAAAAAGTAGTGTTGATATGAGATGAGCCGAGGCTTCGAGGCTTGTGTTGAGTACTGGAGGGGGCGTTTCCGCTTCATTTGGGGGAGGAGCCAAAATAGATGACGTCCAAAGCCTCGCTACCCCGCCATACCACGTAACCGCTGGGAATTGGTTCAGCTCGCCCGGAACTTCGGCCGGCATTTTAACCGCCTCAGTATTCAGTGAAGATGTGAGAGTTTGTAGGAGAGTTGCTGTCAGTTGGATAGATTCTAAGAATAGATTGGTTGGAAAAACTACCAACCTAGTTGGTTAAAACTAGATTGGTCAGATTAAACAATGTAATGATCAAAATCTGAGCGAGCCACTGGTCACCAATGTAATGAGCTTTATCTAGCATTGCTTTCAGAACCATTGTCATCTTGCTAGTGGTGGCAGTTGTAAGAGATGAACTTCTTCAGACTTTTGAAAGTTGCAATAAAACTTTTTTTTTTTTTGGCTAATGTGACTAATTTGTATTGGTTTGCCGTAGTACAAATATAGATTCGGTAAAAACACTGCCAAAGTTAGATTGGTTGGTTTGACGAAAAGATTGGTTGAACACATAACTTCCAACCCGATTAAAACCAAAACCTCTGGAAAAACTATTATGTTTGAATAAAATGACTAACACCTTTCATGTTGTTCATCGATGCCCAATTTGCACAAACAGTTTCACTGTCTGCTTGAGCTTATTTCACTAAAATGGCAGGAAAACAGTGATTTTTCTCTTCTAAGACATTTTACACAAAATAATCTTACAAAAGTTTTATTTTAAGGACCAATCATTAACAATTTCAAAGGAAGTTATATGGCAAAAAAATAAGAAAAACAATTGCAAAAAAAAATCAGATTATATTACTAACTGTAGTTCTGCTCTCCACCAGTAGGTGGTGACATGTTTACATGAGGCTTCATGAACTGTGGGGATCGTTGAAGCAATTAGCCAAATGTTTCAATGCCTCATGAGACTTCGTATCACCATCACTAATAAATAGTGTAACAGAAGCAAAAATCCAAAAATATAAATCCACAATAACGGAGAACCAGGAATACTAACAACAAGAGAGTAAGAAATGACAACAAACCAGCAACAGTGACTGAGCAGGAGGTGCATATATGGGAAAGAGAAACACAGACTACACCTGATTGGGAGCAGGTGTGAACAGAGGAGTCTAAAGGTTAGCTAGGGAAAAGGAGACTGACACAAGAGGGCAGCAGAGAGCAAACAAGAAATACGGAAAATAACTCAAATACAATCAAAAATAACTAGAATAACACAAAATGGAAATAAAACCAATGAAACTAGAAAAAAAGAACAACGATCAAAGTGATACTGAAAGCTCAAAAATAAAACTTCAACAGAACCAAAACTGTGACAGAAGGGATGTTTGAAATAAAAGCTAGATATTGAAAGTTATTAATATCATTTTTTAAAAGGAGAAAAAATATACATTAATCAGATTTAGTGTGAAAATTTATCAAACTACAACTAAAAACATGTTAAAAAATAATTGTAAAAGAACAAACCCAGACATCCCTGTCCTCCCCACAGCATAATGCCACCACCAACATGCTTGACAGTTAATGCAGCGATTTCTTTTTTAATTTCTGCTTGTTTTTTGAACACCTTGTGTTATGCACAAATAGCTTAAACCTTTTCTGATCTGATCATAAAGCCTTTCTGCAAAAGATGATTAGAAAAAATGCCAAATATTTTTTTTCTTAGTTGCAAACAGAAACATGAAATTTACCAGATATTGACAGATTTGCACCAGTTTCAGAACACCGCCAGCTGTTTAGATATTTTTTAGCAACACGCTGGACTATGTCTGTGTTATTTTGGTATTTTTTAGTTGCAGCAAAACAATTTCTTCCTTCATAAAAAGGTTTTAACCTTTTAAAAATAATCCGTAAAAGCTGAAAAATGAACCCTTTTCACATATGATGAATGGACGTGGACTAAATATTAAAGTAGAAACTATATTCATTTAAAATAAGCATTAGTAATAACATAGTAATAATGATGCTAAGCTCTTTTGCAGTAGCTGTGTTCAGACATTAAGCAGGAGGTCTTCCTGCTGTCTGTGACATGGAAGCAAACCGGCTCTTATTAAACCATCAGCGCCGCAGCAACATGAAGTATTCGGTAAAGTTGTCGTCACGTCTCTTTAGTCATTCATAAATACCAGCAAGCTAGCGGTTCGCACAGCCGTTACGTTAGCTGGGACACAGACAGAAAATGCCGACGGCATTAAATTAATAAAATATATATTTATATTTAAATACACTAACCTTGTCGATTCTCGCTTAGCTGTTTCTCAAACTCCTCGAAATCTGACATTATATATCAGACAAAGCTGCTGTGAAGGAGCACAAATTGAGCTGCTCTGAGGCACCTGAGAGAAATTAAAACGGGATTGAACGGAGGCTGCTTCAGTGCAGGGGAACCGAACTGTAGTCAAGACGGAGTTAGAATGTGAGAGCACTACATCCGGGCAAACCTTCAAAATAAAAGCTTTGGTCAACGGACTGAGGCTGTTTCAATGCAGAGGAACCGAACTGTAGCCAAAATGGAACACTACATCCGGGCACACCTTCACAATAAAAGCTTTGGTCAACGGACTGAGGCTGTTTCAGTGCAGAGGAACCGAACTGTAGTCAAGATGGAGTTAGAATGTGAGAGTACTACATCCGGGCAAACCTTTATAATAAAAGCTTAGGTTAATGGACTGTTCAGATATATATGGAGAATAAAAGATGAAACGGTCCATTTGTATATTGTGTGTGTGTGAATATTGGATAAAAAATATAGAGGTTTAACAGGAAGGTTACTCTACTTTAAGTTAATTTAAGTGCAATTAGAGGGAGAGGGGGTATAAAGTAAATATAAGTGTTACTTCATCAATTTGGTGGAGGGTTTGGTTTCTATATGTTCAGGTTAGTTTGGAAATTTTTTCAGTTTGGTTTGGTTGATGTTAACTAGTCTCTTTGTGTGTATTTGGTTGATTCATTTATTGTTGTTCGTCAAACTGTGTGAAATAAATTCCTATTCACTCACTAGACTTAGACAGACCTCGACAGATTTTTTTTGTCATTTTGTACACACAGGTGTAAACAAAAATAAATTTTGTTACATACAGCTCTCTGGACTATATCACTTTTTTTAAAGTGCAGCCTTGATAAGGTAAGCAGCAGTGATAAAAACATTGTGATGTAAAAAAAAGTGATGTAAACCTATGACTGTATAGTTACAGTTCCAACATTCAGGTATTTTGTTTTTTTTTATTCATTCATTTGTACACAATTTGTTCTAAAACTATTGGTTCACTTCTTCTCTAAAACTTTGCAACGTCTAAAACACTTCGCTAATCCCTAAAGAGAGATTAAATGTTACTGAAGCTCTTACAAGGTTTTATTCTTGGAGAAGTTGCAGATGATTCTGGCTACAGGCAGGAAGAGCCTCCTGTAGTGGTCTGTCTTCCAGCATATCTAAAGAAAACTCTGACTGGCGACACCCTGTTGTTGTCTATCAACAATAAACCAGGGGCTAAATAAAAAAATATAAATCCTGACAGAACTGCTAGTTTAAAAATGTTGCCTCTAAGTTTTTAAATTAAAAATAAGATATGCACATGAATAAATTCAGGACTTCTGTAGAAATAATTGTAGTGGTTCTGATATAATCAATTCTTGCATAATGGGAACAGACAGAGTGATCAAACCAGAGTCCTGGTTGTCCTGTCCTGCTCTAACAGATGTGTGCTAACTTTTTAAACCCTCATAAAACTCACACACAAACATGACAGAGAGAAATACTCATTTTTGAGCCCCTGATATCCAAAAGAGCCTAGCTTTCATTTTAGAGCAAGGCGCTGCATTCAAAGTGAATCTTAAACTTCCAACTGGACTTTTTTATAGTCAATGATGATTTATCACAAACTATACAGCGGATTCACCAGATTCCTGGATCCGCATGGACTTTATATCATCTGTGTGCAAAAAATGTTACGCAAACTACAGAAACAGACCACATTACAGTGTTTTATTATTTACAGTCTGCACTCATATGAAAGATACAAATATAATAGTAATTCCCTGCATGAATTTAGGGCTCAGTTCCCCAAAGTTGGAGTTTTTCTAACAGACACAGCTCAGACTGAAGTAAATGCACTCAAGAAATTTATTTGAAATTTATAAAATTTTATATGTTAAGCAGCTTATAAAATGTTAAAAAGAAACTGAGTTGTTTCTATCTGAGCATCAGCTGTAAAAACGGTCAGTTGCATGGGCAGCTCTCGACAGGGGCCAACAGGGGCCATGGCCCCATGTACTTAAAACACGCACGGCCAAACTTTATATATAAGTAGTGTGATTTTCATTGATTTAAGGAGGTAAGATAATTTGCAGATAGAATAAGATGAAAAAAAACAATCTCCATTATTTTATTTCAACTCCATAATGTTTGAGTTAGGTTTCCTGGTCTTTTTTCTAATGGGCTGATTGNAGAAGCCTCCCAGATCTCCAGATGCATTTGAGATATCAAAAAAGTACTCCAGAGTGTTGTTCAGCATGGGGGGGAGTAGAAAATGAAGGCTAATCATGTTTTGGGTGTACTATTCCTTTAAGAGTCTCTGGTTCAAGCAGCATGTCAGTTTAATAATCCTATTTTAAGAGGAGAAATAATCATTCTCTTGGCAGATCATCTTATTTACCTGCTCAAAGTAAGGGCAGATTAACTTATTTTAAGAATATTTTTTTCATCTGTTTAGGTCACTTGCAGTTCAATTCTGAATCAGTTTCTTGTGATAAGTGATGACAGAAGACAGTTACTGAGTCTTGGCCTAGAGGCTCAATTAACACACTGAGCACTGCGCTCTTGCCCTACTTTTCTTTTTTATGTATGTGTCTCTGCCTGTTTTTCTTTTGTTCTGGGGCCTCCATGAACAAACATAGGCCCCAACCCGGCCCCCCGGTATAATTGGCCTAGAACTGCCACTGGCCAAATAAGATTAAGAATATGTGACTCTTTTTATCCTGAAATTGATCAGAGGTGTCAAAAGTACTTACATTATATACTTTAAAAAAAATGCAGGTTCTATACTGAAGATTATTTGCCTTAAAAAAGTAATGATTCTATTTCTAAAAGTTTTTTATTAACAATAAATAGATTTAGGATTTTTATTTATTCAATTTGTTAGTGAAAAAAACAAAAATACTGACTTTGTTTATTTTTGCTATAAATTAAAATTTCAGACCAGATACTATAGATGAAACTGAATACAAGTCCTGTATGAGCGGCTGAATACTCTTTAGAGAGTTTTGGTATTCACAACCAAAAGTTACAAACAGAATTATAATAAAACTTGATCAAGATGTACATTTAAGCTCTAATAAAGGGGGGATGGATTGGGATGTTTCCACCCCCCCAAAACCTGCATCCATGTCACTATCAGGAGTTTTTCTATCAACAAATTGGGCTCCAACTGGACAGATTCTCTTTGCAATCTTGATTTTCTCGGTTTTGCTTTTTAATTATGGAGGTAAGAAAGCAGCCTAAAGAAAATAATGGGTAGAAAGTTGTTGCGATACATTGTCGCAGAACAATGGTGTAGGTTTTAAAAGAGCTAGCTTCCCATATTAGCGTCCCATTTTGCCGGTGGCTTTGTGCCACTAAAAGGCAACGCGCTTCTTGCTGAAGGCTACGCCACGTAGCAACCATATCTCTATGGAGAAATCTGCGCCTGCTGGACCGAGTAAGACTGCCTTTTTCCTGCGATTACTGCGATTTCTTTTTCCTGCTGCAGCAGAGACAGAAGAGCTAATCCAGCTCTGCTACTCGTCGAACAATGGGGGCCCAAATCGCTGTTCGCCAAAGGAGCCATAAGAAGCCCCCGGACCGTGAACGCCTGATACGGAGCAGCGGCGGAGAAGTGCTGCGGTTACAAGCTAACCATCGTTGCTAAAGAGGGAGACGTCCCGTGCTACGATGAGTTATAAAATTAACCCCCTTGCAAATCGCTTCTTATTGCTGCATCGGATTGATCCAAATCTCTTTGAGTTGCTGTTGGACAAACGGACTGGACCGAAGATGGGCCTGCAGAAACCGGACCGAGCTGAAGGCCTTCCCTCCACTGAACCAAAAACAGTAACTGCATCCTTCCCCCTCCTCCCCCCTCCTTTCCATCTGATGCTCTGCTTGGGTGAACTAAATGTAGAATAGATAATATAATTGTGTTGGTGTTTTTATTTGAAATAAGCTTTCTGATTAAACTGCTGATGGTTTTTAAAGGTTTCACTGAATGCTCATGCTCACTACAGACCAAACGAGTCAAATGTTGCTGAAGCTAACTGCTACATCATGAGCTAACCCTCTCTTTGTTTCAGTTGGACCCGACCAGAACTAGAACCCCTGGAGCCAGCTAAGCTAACAGGTCTTTTAGCCTCATCATAGTTGAATGCATTCCTGAGTCATTAATAAATTTTCCACCATAAACTGAATGAAATTTCACTGTTTTGACTGCGGTTAACATCTCTGCATTAGGGTTTATTCACATTTCATCTGCTGCTATTATAAAAGACACTTTTAAATGCATTAAGCCTTAAACTTTGAACATCACAACATCTGACTTTGAAGAGACTCTTAAACCCCTCTTCCCCTCTTATTTCTTTAATTTTGCTTATTTTCAGTAGTGTTTAGTGTTTTGCTTAGTTATTAGATATAATACTGTGATGGTAGCTAATAAAGTTACCATTGTATTTTAACCCGCAGTCTTTTGTGTTCATTTTACACAGTGAACGATTTATCACTCAGGTTGGATTCACTTTTCATTCAGTAGCATCTGAATGAACAGAGACACATTTATTTGGCTGGTGGTTAATGACGTTGCAAAGAGCCATAGCCTAAATTACCAAATTTGTTAAAGACAACTGGATTTTTAACAGCTGGATTCAGGAGTCCAACCTTTTAGGATAGGGGCTAAAACCTTATTCAGTAAGCAAATTACAGTTATAATCATTCAACTGATAATAAATAACTAGTTTTACCATTAATAAAATTAACCCTATTAACCAACTTCCAGTTCTAGTTATTTCATATATATTTATAATTTTCTGGTAAGCTGGCATCACAAAGTAAAAAGTCACAAAGTAAAAATACCAACAAAAAAGCTACTGAAGTACAGCAACTAAGTATTTTTACTTAATGACTTGACATCTGTGAAATGTTGTCTGTGCATCTCAATAACCACAAACAAAAATATGAATGTTTCAGTGCAGCCCGTGGAATGGCTGTGTCCTCCCTCTCTGTCACTCCACACATACCATGTCGAAGACGCACACGGAAAACGACCGAGTCAGCTGTGCAGCTATTAAAAGACTCCAAATCCCAAAGTATTGCTATGGGAGCCTGGCCAGTTGTCAGGTTGGAGGATCTCCGCTGAGGCGTACAGCTCCAGCTCCTCAGGAGAGGCGTTAAAGCTGACTACCTGCAGAGGACTGAGAAACAGTGAGTGGGATCCTGCTAACTCATATCCTATAGTCAGGCTCTTAGTTATGATTTTATCTGATTAATGAACGCGTTATCAGTTTAAATGAAAGCTAAAAGCATAACAGGGATGTTTTTTTTCCAAAAAGACAATATAGGATAGCACTCTGACTTTACTCCTAATCATGCTGTTAAATAAGAAGTTCAGTATTCAGTGACATTGAGAAGTTCAGTATCTATTTTAGTGCCAGTTTATATATAGAAGCCTTAACTTGAATAAACAGCTGGTGCTTGGCAGCGTAACACAAACTGAAATCATGTTACATGTTGGTTTTATAGTGTTAGATGAGACAAATCTGCCCAGTGAAGAAAGGACCCTAAGTTGGTGAATGAACTCTGGTTCGGAGCAGCATATCCGTCACACATACCTGCTTCAGTACTTTGGAGTGTTGCTGTTGTTTCTTTGGAGGTTTTATAGCTACAGGTTTATGGCTTTTATGTCAAAAATAATCAAACCTCAAAGATGATCAACCTTTCGTGTTCATTGTATAGTACTTTACTGGTGGTGTTTACTTCATGTGATAAACCAATGCAGGGAAGTTGGGAAAATATGGAAAGTTTTCAAAATGTGAAAAATAAATATCTGAGAAAGATTTGCCTTCGATTCAGTCCCCCAAGTCTGCAGAACCAGGTTTTACTGAACTGATTGCTACGGTTCTTTTGGGCTTGGTTTCTACCTGCTTTGAACATCTAGAAGCAGAAAATTTCACACTTATATTTCCAAATATTCCAAGTCCACTCATCTTATATCTTAATCAATATTTGGAGATACAATAAATTCAATTGTATCACAATCTAGATTTGGCATAGAGGACATAGAAGAACACGCTTAGATCCAAACCATTCTGTTGTGGCCCTCATATGTGTCCTTCAGGATGGTTAACCTTCCCCCAAGGCCCTCGTAGCCTCTTACTGGTTTTCTTAGAGGCTTTGTCTTTATTTTCTTTCATCTGCCTTCTCATCCAGCCTCCTTCTTCTTCTTCCCTGCTGAAAAAAATCTACCTCCATAACACGATGCCTCCACTGCCCTGGTGAAATGAGTATTGTATGTAAGCCAAAAATTTTAATGTTAGTCTCATTTGACCAGAGCATCTTATTCCAAGTGTCTAACTTAGGCAAACCTCTGAGGCCTTTACTTGGCGGCTGGATCTTTACCAAGATAAAATTACTTAAAGGTAGACTGATAAAGCCTGTTTTGTTTTCCTTCAACTTAATGTGAAAGAAAAATTTGTTTTTTTTCTGTTTTCTCTTGAAATCCCACCAAAATCAAATAAAGTCTATTGATGCAAAATGATAAATATGGTGAGTATTGTGAGTATTTTTGGATAAATAGTGATGAAAGATAAAAAAAAGGGGGTTTAAAGAACCATTCAGTTATATGTTAAAAGAGTATTCCCCTTCAAGAGTACAGAGGAAAACATATAGATGTCATTTCTAATGATGTGTGTCTATATAGCTGTTTTTTACTTATACAAATATCAATTATATGTAATTAAGCATTTGCTAATAGATAAGTACAGATTTTTTTTGCAAGATCATGTTTAAAAATGTTTTCTCTGTCTTTGTTTCAGAACCATTAGAGCCCATAGTTACATAGAAAAATGATTGTAGAGGGTGAGATGCATTCCAATGCATCAGAGACGGTGAGATGATGAGAATGAAAATCTAAATAGTATTTAACATTCATCTCATCACATATTTCTACAACAAATCATCTCTCATTTACAATAGCTTCCATCTTTAAAGCATTCTTTGACATAGCTCCACTCTAAGCCTATAATATGCAATCATGGTAAAATAAATAAGAAAGTACTCCTTCTTTTGGCTCCAGGGTCTCACATGAAGAAATAAGACAATCTGGTCCTTAATAAATCTTTAAATAATTTAAAGTTACTCTTAAGTGCAGAAAAGCACACAGCAGATTCCACACTATGGAGGATGCCAGTAAGGAAAGTCATCACCAGTGACCTCAGCAACCAGAAACTGATCATGAGTTCATTTTACGACAGAGTAAAGTCCATCGATCTACAATGGAACATGTTGAAAAACATCTTTCTAAGAGGTCCACATCCCAGAAAGGTCAACCCCAAGATAGGTCATGCATACTCAGAGGAACACCTAGAAAAAAAACTCTATCTCAGACTCTATGGTAGAGGTCACAGATTAGCGGACTGCGGTCCGGATCTGGACCCACCTGCTGGACTCAAAAATAACAAACGGCCAGTTTAGGTGTTTTATAAAATATGTGAATCAGGAAATCATCTATATACCAAACTGAACAATTGTTGTTCTCTAGTTCTAAAAACACTTCAGATTTTAAAATGGAAAATGTTCTATTTTTTTATTTTTTATTTTTATTTAAAAAGTCAATGTATAACATGGATGCATAAAAATATAATTTTATTTCAGTGTTAAATTCTGTTCAAGCAATAGATTATAATTAAAAATGTCTCTGGACCTTTACTGGTTGATGATTTTCTTTATTCGGACCTCACTGATTTTTAATTGGTTATCCCTGCTCTATACGGTCAATTAGCATGTTTAAAGTATAAGAAAGATTAAAGAAACTCGTAGGAGACAGAACTCTCTCTCTCTAGCAGAATATAACAGCAACACAAAGATCTCTGAGTGAACCTCAAGACTCCCAAAACAATGTCCTGTGGACAGATTAGACTAAAGTAGGGATATCTGGTCCTACAGTACAGCACCGCGTTTAAGGCAAAACCAAACACAACAAAAACACCCATACTGACTGTCAAGCACAGTGGCGAGAGATGATGATGATGATTTGGGCTTGCTTTGTTGTCACACCACAACAAAGCAAGCCCAAATCATCATCATCATCATCATCATCATCAACTCATTGAGTAAATAAGTAACAGATCTGTAAAACAAAATAATCTAGAATCAAATGTGAGGACATGTTAGGCTTGGACCAAACTGGGAAATTAACAGGTCAACGGTACCAAACATAGAATTAAATCTATTTCAGAATGGCTGAAAAAGGCAAAGATTTAGGGTGATCCAATGATCAATTTAAAGACCAGACACAAACCTTATCAAAGCAAAGCTGAGCAGAAATTAAATAAAATTAAATAAACTAACGTCCAAGCATCTTAATTACCTGGGAAAACTTTGAGAGAGTGTAACACCTAATTTCTCCAAAAAGATGTAAAAAACTGATTAAACACATTTTGATTCCTACTGATAAATGCAGATAAAAAAATGAGAAAAAAAAAAAAACACAAAGAGGGTTAGCCTTCCTAGATTTTACTACAGAAAACGTGGAATCTGTGTGCTTTTTGAGATTATATTCAAGATTTATTTCAACCTAATGTTGGAAACCACTAAAAAGTTTGAATACATTACAGTTTTTGCCATGATTGTATATTGCCAATTATGTTAGTTTGCAAGGAGTCATGTTTTTATTTCAGTTTTTTGTTTGGAAAAATAAATCCTGGGTTGCAGCAGGTCTACTGCTAGAGCAGGATTTGTCTGGTGAACCACAAATAGTCCAAAGGCAAAGAAAATAATCCCACTTGTATGTGTTCAAGATTTCACTTTTAAATGTGAGCTTTTGGTCAGAAAGAGAATACATAGAACAAAATAAACAGGCAGGTTTAATGCTATTTAAGTATTTTATTGTGGATCTGGGGATTTCTTATTTAGGATTATTTAAGTCCCATTAAGTCTAAATCCCATTTAATCGCTGCTCTTTAAAAAATTCTTCTTTTTAATTGTTTTTGTCTTTCATTACTCTCTGTGATATATTCCTCTGTGGCATTAGGAGGCCTCTATGTTTAGGCTTCACTTTAACCAGAGGATTTTACTGCATACTTCCAATGATCAGGGCAGGACTACTATGTTTAAACCTGCAGTTCATGTTGTACTGAGAAAGCTCTGGTGGAGCTCTTTCTGATTTAAAGTTCACATTAAAAAGTAAAAAGTTGCATTGATACAAGTCTGCAAAATGTTTTGCCTTTGAAAAAAAATGCTTGAAATTTGCATTTAAACTTCATGGAGTTAACAAAATAAATTACTTCATTAATCTCTGTGAAATATCTTTTTGAAAGAAATTTTAAAACAAAAAAAGCATTTAAAGTTTGAACTTTTAAGCCTTAAAATAATTGGGATTTAATTTAAATTGTATTACTTTTAAATTTTCTTTTTGTTAAGCTAATTTGAAGTTTAGTTGATTATGACAATGTTGCTCCAGCTTTTAAAACATAGACAAAGATATTAAGCGGTATTTTAAAGTGTTTAAGTGATTTGAGTCAATAGTTTTATTCTGTTGCTGTTTCTTATGCTAATTATGCTAAACAGGAAGCGTTAAAACATTTTCATTTATTTAAAGATATTCCATATAAGTTCTGTTATAGACAAAGACGTATATTAAATTGTCACTGTTATATCAATGTGTTTTGGTTTGAATTAGATTTTAGGTTAAAGTTTTTGCTCAACCTCATTTATTTGAATCTAAGCTGAAATAACCATTTTAGCTTAGCGCTAACACCTAGCTGCTAGGTGTTGGAGGGAGTGTTTGCATGTTTTCCGAATAAAATGTAAACTTTTCAGTCATTTTGTACAAACATCTTGAGTGATTTTGCTTTCGTTATGACATTTTCCAGAACATCCTTCCAGACATGGACCCTACATGGGCCACAACCATCCTCGTGGTTCCCTGTGTGGTGGTGCTAACAGCTGGATTTTTTTACCTTTATGGAGCAATTATCAATTTGCTGTCTAAAACATCAGTGCGGAATAAGGTGGTGGTTATAACGGATGCTTTATCTGGGCTTGGAAGAGGTAACACCTGAATAAAAAAATGATGGGGTCTTTGAACACTTTTACTAGTTTTTGTGTCTGTTTATTTCTTGTGAGAAGAATGTGCAGCCGTCTTCCACAAGGGAGGAGCCAGGCTGATCCTCTGTGGGAAAAGCTGGGAGAAGCTTGAAGATCTTGCAGATGAACTGGCGAATGCTTCGGATCCTTCAGCTGTAAGCATGATCAGCCTTAAACTAGATTAAGCGCAGCATGAATGATGCTGTAGTGAAAACAAACATCCAATATCCTCCCTCCGCCCTTTTTATAATTCTGGAGAGTAAGACATTATTTCATCTTTTCTATCATCTCCATCATTTTGTTTTGAAGACAATATTTGTTGTTGTTCAGTGGTGAATGTGTCTAGTGCAACGGTCTTCAACGTTTTTAAGGCTAAGGCCCCCCAAACTGATGTCCAGATGGAGTGGGACCCCCTAATTATCAGTGGTAAAAGTTGAAGTATCAACTTGACCTCTTTACT